GACCTAAATCTGATAATGTCTTCATAAAGCACCATTTCTTTATTGTACTTCTTTCCCAGCAGAACTATTGTGTTTCCCAATGTTTTAACTCAGGGTGTAACCTGCAGGCAAGCACAAACATTGTCCCGATACACACTGTTCGTTTTGATGTGAGTGTATAGCCTGAAAAGGCCGTGGTTTGAATGGTTTGTGACAGTGGCTGGATTCTACTGCCGCTGGGAGTCAGTAATCTGATATGAGAATGAATCAGTGGTTCTCTCAACAGACAAAAGGCCAGCTGTTCATGTCTAGCACATGTCCACCGCGACAACCTTTTTCTTACAATATTCATATAGCATAGCACTTCTTCACCATCTCGACTACTTTCCCCAAAATTAATCTGATTGTCAATTTTATGTCTCCAGATAACAATATATAATATGTCCTAAATGTTTTCCTTTAATGTCAACCATGTTGACAATATATTTTGCCGACAAATTAGCATGAAATTCTGGCTGGCACTGTACTTGGAACCATCCATTCACTATTTCAGCAGGGGAGCCTATCCCAGCTGACAATGGGGGAGAAGCAGGTATAACCTGGACAGGTCACCAGTCCATCGCAGGGCCACACAGAGACACACAACCACACCTCGACACACATTCACTCCAAGGGGCAATTTTACAGTGGTCAATTGTCCTAACGTTCCTATTTTTGGTTGGTGGGAGGATGCACCCAGAGGGAACCCACTCAGACACTGAAAGGTCCCTTATCCCCTGGGGATTTGAACCAAGAACCCTCTTATTGTGACATGCCACCCGTACTTGGAAGCATCCATCGATTTTCCACTGCTTATCTGGGGTCAGACCGAAGCAGGGAAAGCCAGACTTCCCTCTGTCCTGCCACTTCTGCTAGCTCCTCCGGGGTGACCCCAAAGCATTCCCAAGCCAGCCCAGAAACATTGTCTCTCCAGCGTCTTCCCCTGGGCCTCCTCCCAGTGGAACCTCCCACCCAGAACACCTCACCAGGGAGGTGAACAGGAGGCATCCTAATCAGATGCCTGACCCCCCACTTTGAACCATTTCTCCTAATTTTTGATTCCTTAAGCAAGTCCTTCCTGTTTCCTTCAGATTCCTTAAATCCAATTTCGAACAGGTTTTGAGGCCTCCAGTATAACTGTATGGTCACTTTGAAGGAATATTTTACCGGGTGGCACGGTGGTGTGATGGTTAGCACCATCACCTCACAGCAAGAGGGTTCTGGATTCAAGTTCCCGGGGGAACCAGGACCTTTCTGTGTGGAGTTTGCATGTTCTCCCTGTCTCTCTGGGTTCTCCGGCTTCCTCCCACCATCCAAAGACCTGCATGTTAGGTTGGTTGGACATTCCAAACTGCCTTTAGGAGTGAGTGTGAGTGGTTGTTTGCCCTTGTGTGTCTCTGTGTGGCCCTGCGATAGACTGGCAGACCATCCAGGGTGTACTCATCCTCTTGCCCATTGACAACTATGATAGGTTCCAGTCCCCCCGCGACCCCATTAGGGAATAAGTGGTTACGATAATAGATGGATGGATGGAATATTTCACTGACACTTGTACGAAGATGTGTATACACAATTGTAATATGCAATAATGTTGGCTCAAGACTGGACATTAATTCCTAAGCATCCCTCATTACATCCTCCAGTTATGCTGATAGACTTGTTCTCTATAGATCTCTGGCATTAATACAAAAAAAACTAACAAATTTTTATCCCCCAAAAAAAGAACTACACAAAGAAATGTAGTATCAACAGTTTGATTGAGCTCACATGATCATTTGCTAACTCCACAATGGCAATGGTGGTTGTGGATTCAGTTGTTTTTTTTTCATGTTTTAATCTAGGTAAGTATGAAATGATCAACATTAGTAAATTCACATGTAATCTTGTTAAAAGAATTAAAGCATTGGTCATGTATTTGACCCTGCAGCATCTGTATCTCTTTTGCCATATTGAAATGGCTGCTGAAAGCGGAGAGCATGATGCTGATGTGTCCTCAGAAATGCTAAAAGTGGCTATTTTATTATGCTCTCTCCAAGACACAATCGTTTAATGAACTGGAGCTTTTTCCAACTGTCCAGGGTGTACCCTGCCTCTCGCCCACTGACCACTGAGAAAGGCTCCAGTTCTCCCGGCGACCCCATTAGGGAATAAGCCGTAACAATAATGGATGGATGGATGGAGCCTTTTCCATCTGCCATTGGTTGAGAGGCAGGGTACACCAAAGACACATCGCCAATCTATCACCGAGCCAGGTTGAGACAAATGAGACAGACAACCATGCACACACTCCTGCGGTCAATTTGGGGTCAATTAACCTATCGTGCTTGTGGGGGTGGGGTGGGGGGGGGTTGGCAGTGGAAGGAATGCACCAGCTATGATGTTATGAATCTTCTGATACATTCAGTATTGTTGGAGGTATGGAAACCGTAAAAAGTCTATCATTTTTTTAAATCAAGGTCTGAAAGTATGTCTAAAGTGCACAATAGAGCTTGTACCTAATATCATGGGCATCAAATTGAAACATTTAAGACATAATTTGGAGAAAACAAGATGTCATAGAGACAAATATTGAAGTATTTTATGGTTTTTATCTTTCAATGCAAAAAAAACAGGTTTGCTCAATTAAAAATGTGGTGCTATATATGTCTGTGGTTTATTGTCAAATACATGTGTGGATTATAATAGAATGGCAATTGCATTACAAATCTAAACCTTATAAGTAATCTTTCTTGCAGTAAATTTCTGGCAGCAGTTTGGACGCCAAATGGGTGAAGGGAATATTTTTAGGTGTGAGAGAACATCCCAGGCCTGGCTAAGATCCTTAAACTTCAGACACAACCAACAATTCTGGGTGGGTCCCCTATGAACTGTGGTTCTTTAAAGATAACTTTCACTTAAATATTACTGATTACAGCACAAAACAGTAATATTTTACATTTGAACATTTTTAGGTTAGGCCATCCAACCCTTTATGTCAGTGTCAAGAGCAGATATGGAAACGAACAGCTCATTTGAGTAATGGCACATCCCCTCTGTCACTGCTGTGCAATACAGAAAACAAAGACAGCGTTTGTGTATTAGATAATAATGCAGACATCGTAGGAATATAAGCGTGGCCTACATACTGAAATACATAAAAGGCTGTGGCGTGCCTGTGAAAAACAAAAACGGGCCACGGCCGAGAGAATATTCATTCAGATTAAACTAGGCTTTACAAGTCAGCATGGCACTAATCTACATAAAAATGTTTGGTATGCATTTCAGCTGCATCACAGCCTGCATTGATCCGTGAAAGATTTAAGCAGGGCCCTATACTAATGCAAAGAAGTCCACGGCTCCCCCCTGGAAAAGCCCAATGTCAGGGGAACAGCAACCTGGGAGTGCTTCTCCATTAGGTTGTTTTAGATATGGCTGCAGAAACTGCAGCAATCTAGTCACAGTCGCATTTAAAATTACTGGCATTTAAAAAAAACTAATAAGCCTATACTTACTATTTCTTTACCATAAGATCTCCACTTACTGTATATTACTGTTCATTGTACCTATTTGATATAATAAGCTCTAGCAAGCTAAATTCGTGAGTGCTGGACAGTCTAGCTATGACGTGATGATTTCTGTTGCAATCATTCTTGGCTACTTCCATTAAGAGTCAGTTGCTGGTTGAATGAATGACAAACACGTTGTTAAGTATTGGTTTCTTATGAGTGGTTATATAACATCTGTAAATCGTTTAAATAAAACAGCTTATTTTCACTGGTATACGATTCAGTTCGACGGTATAAGAAACAGCCTCATCATTTTTACCGCATTTCCGCATCACCACTATCACAAGGCAAAGAGGGCGACGTCTACAGATTATGCGTTTCATCTTCCGTTTGCACCAAAAACAATTGACAGTGTTGTTGGCCAATAGTGGGTAAGTTCTCGAAATTCGGATTGGTCAGAATGCACGTCTGTGAGCGCCATCCTGCATAGAAGCCAATAGAAAACCGAAAGGATGGGCAAAGGGCGGGAGCTAGTGCCTTATAAATCAGAGTGTTCAGCCATTGCGCACGCAGTTGCGTGGATACCAAAGTCGACCGGCTAAACGTGCAGCAAAATTATCAGCAAATATGAGGGAAATTGTGCATCTCCAGGCAGGCCAGTGCGGAAACCAGATTGGTGCCAAGGTGAGTAAAACTGCGTGGGGCTTTTGAAGGCAAAATGTGCTGCATTTTGTTCTAGAATGCAGCACACCGTTCTGTTGAAGTCGAGGCTTTGTGCTCACGGCGCCCACATAAACCACACCCTTTTGAATCTGAACGTGTCCTAATTTAGAATCTTACCCTTATCTTATTTTTATTTCATTTTATCTTATCTAATACAGTTACAGCCTTGAAGACTCTTTCACATTTTTATATATATTAATATATGTTTATATATTTTTTTAAAAATATACATGTATATAATATATAAATGTATATACGTTTTATTTCTAAACCATCTCCAGCACTACAGTTAAAATGAGGTCTATTCATGTTAAGTTAGAATTATTCAAACCCCGTGGCTTTAACATGGCCATTGTTCTACAATGGAGGAAAAAGGGAAGTGACTGTGCAAAGATCACGCAAAGCCGGGAAGGGGGGGGGGGGGGGGGGGGGAAGGTTTGTTTGACAAACAGCTTTTTTTTAAAGACGTAGGGTTTTAGATTTTTTTTTTTTTTTTAACTTCCATTACAAATGTAGTTTCTTGAAATGGATCGTGGTGTAAGGCCTACACGCCATTTGAGCGCCGGTCTCTTGCCTCGAGAGGGCGGTTAGTGACGTAACAGAGGAGTCTTCAAATTCATAACCCCACCCGCCAATAGAGTCTCAGCCGCGCGCGCCCAATTTACAGGATGGCGGGAAGATTTGTCAGCGTTTAATAACGCAGCTGTCTAGGTCTTAAGTGAGGAAGCTGTATGTTAAGTTGGCTATTTTTAATTGTGACTCCTTGATTTTTAGTTTTGGGAGGTGATCAGTGACGAACATGGCATTGACCCAACTGGAACTTACCACGGAGACAGTGACCTGCAGCTGGACAGGATCAATGTATACTACAATGAAGCTTCAGGTATGCCTGTATATATTAATTGTAATTATTAATAATTTATTTGAAAATAAAATATTATTACTTTTATTTATTTTTATATATATATATATATATACTTTTATATATATATATATATAATTAAAAGTTTTTATTAAAGGCCTGTCATAACATGAGTTTTATTTTTAAGGTGGAAAATATGTGCCCCGTGCTGTACTCGTCGATCTGGAGCCTGGCACTATGGACTCTGTGAGGTCTGGACCTTTTGGACAGGTCTTCAGACCAGACAACTTTGTTTTCGGTAGGTTGTTGAAGATTGTCAAGTCACTGTTACACCCCTCCTACCCCCCCACCCCCTCCCCAGGGGAATGACTGCAAATCAAATGCTGTTTTTCTTTTTTTAAACAGGTCAGAGTGGTGCTGGCAACAACTGGGCCAAGGGCCATTACACAGAAGGTGCAGAGCTGGTGGACTCTGTCTTGGATGTGGTGAGGAAGGAGGCAGAAAGCTGTGACTGCCTGCAGGGCTTCCAGCTCACACACTCCCTCGGTGGTGGAACGGGTTCTGGCATGGGCACTCTGCTCATCAGCAAGATCCGTGAAGAATACCCCGACCGCATCATGAACACCTTCAGTGTGGTGCCTTCCCCCAAAGTGTCTGACACAGTTGTAGAGCCTTACAATGCTACACTATCAGTGCATCAACTAGTCGAAAACACAGATGAGACCTATTGCATCGACAATGAAGCCCTCTACGACATCTGCTTCCGCACTCTCAAACTCACGACCCCCTCGTACGGGGACCTCAACCACCTGGTCTCCGCCACCATGAGCGGCGTCACCACCTGTCTCAGGTTCCCTGGGCAGCTCAACGCTGACCTGCGGAAGCTGGCCGTGAACATGGTGCCTTTCCCTCGTCTGCACTTCTTCATGCCAGGCTTTGCTCCCCTCACAAGCAGAGGTAGCCAGCAATACAGATCCCTCACAGTACCCGAGCTGACCCAGCAGATGTTCGACGCCAAGAACATGATGGCCGCATGCGACCCACGTCATGGACGCTACCTGACGGTGGCTGCCATCTTCCGTGGCCGCATGTCCATGAAGGAGGTGGACGAGCAGATGCTCAACGTGCAGAATAAGAACAGCAGCTACTTTGTCGAATGGATCCCCAACAATGTCAAGACCGCCGTCTGTGACATTCCTCCCCGAGGCCTCAAAATGGCCGCCACATTCATCGGTAACAGCACAGCCATCCAGGAGCTGTTCAAGCGCATCTCTGAGCAGTTCACTGCCATGTTCAGGCGCAAGGCTTTCCTCCACTGGTACACCGGGGAGGGTATGGATGAGATGGAGTTCACAGAGGCCGAGAGCAACATGAACGACCTGGTGTCAGAGTACCAGCAGTACCAAGATGCCACTGCTGAGGAAGAGGGAGAGTTTGAGGAGGAGGGTGAGGAAGACCTTGCCTAATCTGGAAAAACGTGTCAAGTTTTTCTACTGAGGTGTGACCTCATGTATGTTTCCTTTGTCAGTGTTCTAAAATAAAATTCTAAAGCATACACACTGTCCCTGGTTTTGATTAACATGCAATGGAAATGAGCAGCATCTGGGAGTCGTGCACTATAGCTGTAAAAGCTGTCATGATATATATATAAATATATATACAGGTCATTTGTTTATTTAAATGAGTTGGTCTGTAGTCAGTAAACATGAGTTCAGATTAATTAACCGTAACAATCCGTTTTCAGTGCATGTGGATTCAGTAATGTAACTACATTGGTATCAAAGTTCACAAACTGGTTCGAATTAAAATTTGAAATGGTTTCATCTGAGCTTGCGAGATTATCCAATTCAACCAGTCCTTTACTTTTGGGGGGGTTGGGAAAGGAGGCTCCAGGCACACCCTCTTCAAATAGTATTAAAAAATGCCCTGGATTTCATAATGGGGGTTGACAATTATTTCTAATGGTACCCTTACAGCCACAAGGGGGCAATGTTGGCTAACTTATTTTCTTCCATAATAAGTAGGTGAGAATACAAATGGTCAGGCTTAACAGTGTCCAACAGCAAATTTTCTTCACTTGATTCTCCAAGTTTTCCTTCTGACCAAAGCGTGACACAAAACCCGTCTGCAAACAAAAAAACAAACAAACATGAACTGTTTTTGTACTACAATCATGTCAACTTTAGATTTGATTTAATACGTTTTGTTTAAAAAGATGTACAACCTGTATTGCTAAATGAGACATCAGTTACCTGTTGCATTAAACTGTTTGCTTTTACTTGTTCATCCTACTCAAGGACATAAAATGCAGGGTTTTGAACTAAAACTGTGAATCTGGTCATTGCATTTGTAATTGCCTCCAAAATGACAAGAAAAGCAATGGAAATTTCTCAATAGTCTGTTTGAATTAATGGAGAAATGTATCATTCATATCAATTGTATACATTTCCATGAGGTATAAGTGTGATGGATTAACAGATGGATGATGCCTGACAGAGAATTGTCTCTTTACGGAAAGGTCCACTTACCCATCCTCCCTTATCTCGAATTTCAGGGCAAATGACTCTCTCGACGTAGGCGCCCACGCACTCCTTCAGCTGAGGTAGAACCGTGGCCATGCCCCTCTCGTTGCAGTGCAGAGCCATCTGTCCTGCCAGCACATAAACCGATAGCACCGCGCTCCAAGCCAAGTCCCTGTGACGCCCCCTGGGGACCGGGGGGAAGAAATGCTCATCCAGGATACTAATGAGCATGGGGCACGCCGTGTTCTCCTTCACATTCTGGAAGACCCGAGGCCAGCGCCTGAAGAAGATGGGGAAGCGAGTAAGGAGCTCGTCCCCGGCGTGTCGCAGGGCTGCGGTGCAGGCTGTAGGGGCAGGGCCCATAGGCTCGTCTGCCGTCCCTTTGGTTACGAAGTCTATGTAGTCGTAGGCCATCAGAAAAGCCTCCCTCACCAGTGGGTCAGGACTGCTCAGGCCTTGTCCGTCCTCTGATTGACACATCATTGCCTCTGACTGCCACTTGTCACGAAACTGTACTCCCATTAGGCCACAGATGGCCATGTACTCCAAAGGCAGGCGGCATTCGTGCTCATTTCAGTCAGATAGGGTCGTGGAGCTGTTGATGTAAATTAAAGTGTCGGTATCACAAGAGAATAAACACACACCGTAGCCGTGAGAAAATAGGGTTTCCATAACTTACCTCCTCTTCATCAAGTGGAACATGGGTACATAGAACCACACACTCGGTTTGAGGAACCTAGCAACGTGTGAACAAGTGTTGGGGTCCAGCGGAGAGTATGTTTTGCCGCTGGGTCACCCAGTCCCCTCGCTTACTAATTATAGAGCCCTTGTTGGAAACTGACACTGATCTCCGGTCTGCAGCACAATCATAGCTTTACTGACACCTATATCCATTCCAACACACACGGCACAGCTAAATAAAGAGCCCAGATGACCTACTGAGATTTTTAAAAAGCTAGCTGAACAGTGCCAGTATAAATAATTAGGGGCAAAGCAACCGATGAAGTTAAGCTGTCCCCTGTTGAGCCAGTCTTTAAGAACAATTAGAAAGAAAACATAGCCGTTTTTCTTTGGTGATTTATAGATTGAGATTTATTCTTGTCCACATCATTTTCAATCCACTTGATAATGTATATTAGTCCAAGTATTGTCCTTTTCAAAGTTTCAAACGGATCTTTGGTTGAGTGGATCAGTGGGTGGTTAGGGAGATGGGTAGGTGGGTGGTTATGGAGGTAGGTGGGTGGGTAGATAAGGTGTAAGTAATTCGTTTTTTTGTCTGGTAAAGTTGTTACCGGTAGTCTTACAGTTCAAATTCAACAAATCTATAAATGACTATTCAGAGCTAGAAATCATAACAATGTTACAATTCAGTGCGAGCCATAAAGAAAGGAAAACTACCATACTGGGTTTAACTTTTTTTTTATTGTTCTTGTTGGTTTATTTGGGTAAATTGACTCTCCGAAAAGTTCAAGTTGACTAACCAAGAATTTGATTGTTCCCACAGCATCCTGTCAGACCTCGAAAGACATTGTCACAATCAACTTTACAATCAAGTTGTTTTGTATATTGAGTCACATTTAATGCCAAAAAACAATTGCCTATAACTGTCATTGAAAGGTCCACTTCATTAGTTTTTACGAATGACGATGTAAACACATCCTTCTATGTAGTTTTTAAATTATCCATCCTTCCATTTTCTATTGTGCTTTTTCTTGACAGGGTCACGGTCACGGGAACACCCTGGACCAGCTGCAAGTCCAGGTTTTAAATGAAGTTGTTAGAATTTTGGACAATTCCCTTTGAGATCTCGCCTTTCCAACATAAGTCAGAAAAGCGCAATGTAATCCACATAGTCTCTTTTTTTGGTCATTTTCTTAAAAAAGTGTGTATGAGCCATATGATTCCATCTACGGTACATAGCTAAAGAGGGAGCGGGCAACAGCTGTGTTGTGGTCCTCCATCTGGTACAACATATATTGTAAATATGCATGGGCGGGAAGATAACCCTAATCATCCAGATATAACCTCAACCAACCTCCTGCACTGACACATATGCTGTCACACACCATGTGCACACATTACATCAGATGTGTTATCAGAGTGTTTGTAAAAAGGCTACATAATTGTTCCTCATTGCTGAGGCAGGAACAGAGGAAGTGACATGGTTGATAGGGGCTCCTATCAGGCCTCTCATGTGTTCATGTGGCGATATCAACAAGCAGGGTACATTTCCTGACTCCTATAGATAATTATTTGGTCTGTCCGCAAGGCTGTGTTGAAGAGGAAGGTGTAATTCATTTCCTCCGTTATTTAGATGTGTATTTGTCTTTTAAAACAATCTAGTATTAGCTTGCTGGTGTGTGATGTTGTGCTAATGATATTCACTACATAGGTGAAGTCACCAAAAGAAGTTGTTGTTGTTGGGGTTTTTTTGTGTTCTTTGGTTGGTTGAAGCTGACAAACAGCTACATTTGATCTTCCTAACGTAAAAATATGGTTCACACCAGATCACAACAAAAGTTCCCTCATGCCACAAGTTGAATAAATTACAAATAAACTGTTCAAACCAAGTTTGATTCAATTCAGTCGAATTCATCATCAACCTTACTTACCACAAAAATAATGTATTTTGTGTATCATACTCAGATCAGACCACTTGAGTTAATGTATAGCCTTGAGAGTAAAGGTAATGTACCAACTTGTATCTTTTTTTATTATCTTTTTATACAACATGAAACACACAATCATATCAAGAAAACAGAATTGTGAGGGAAGCTAAATGCTCATGGTAAACATATCACTTCCTCGCTGTCTGAGGCTTCAGATAATTACAGAATTGGTGTATTTTGTCGTTGAATAACATCCCAATCAAATTGACTAACTTAATGTAGAAATTCGAAGATTAACACAATGTCAAGTGAACTTAGTACTTGATACCACTTCCCTTTTCCACTCCTCGAGTCTGGAAAAAAAACGTTTGTATATTTAATTTAACACCCAACATCAGTGTTACACTATTAGTAAGAATTAAAACCCTCGTTTAGTAATAAAGGAACAATACAAATATTTTTAGTTTTGTATTGGTTTTTTTTAAGTATAGTTGTTCTTGTTGGTTTTCTAAATACAAAAATAATCAGATAGGGTTAACATGAACAAGTAATCATTATGTATGGAACTCATAGAAAATATCTGCAGTAATTTAACCTAAAACATCAGACCTGTCCATGCTTTGCTTTTAGAGGAACACACTACAAATGCTAACATGGGACTAAAGTCAAGTAGACAATGATTAGTGAGATGAGGCATGCATTTTCCGTAGTTTTTAAATTTTTTGCAAAGTACAGACAGCTCACAATGCATTTGTGCATATGTGTGTGTATACGTGCAAGTTTGCCTTTATCTTTCAGCAGCACAAGAGTATCTCTCACTCTCAGGAAGCGGCTAATCAAAATCTACACAGAAGTTGAAATGCACTTTGAAGTTTCTACCCACAGCAACAACAACAACAAAAAAAAAAACACGAACAAGACGAAAAAGGCCGCCACAAAAGCAGCAAGGTGACGGAAAAAAAAAAGTTGAACAAAGCAGTCGAATGATAACCGACCGCCCCCCCTGCTCCTCCCCACCCAACCTGCAGTCAAACAATTGCGATCTCTGCGCCTCTTTGTTTAGGACTCCCATCTGTCTCGCAGTGGGAGGTGTGGTCAGAAAGAAGAGGAAATTGTTCTGAATTTGTGGGTAATTGAAAACACCTCTATCCCCCGTGTCCCCATCTATACCTGCTTAGAAAAAAATAGAAAAAAACTTTCACACCCCCTTCTTCCTCCCTGGTGCCCATCTTCTATACCAATGTTCTCTTAATGGCACCCCATGCCCATCTTGTCCTTTATCTCCCACTGGACTGAATTGATGCAAACGATTCTGTGTCCATTTACAGCCTGAAGGAGAGATGACCCACTTGTGTGCTTTGCCTGTTGTCTTCTGCCCTTCCTTCTCAAATTGTAGGTATTGATGGCCCATCATTGTCTCCCCCCCCCCCTCCCCTCCCTGCCCAGGGGGTGGAGTGGTTTGTGGGAAAATTTGGGGACCCCTCAGGTGTTTGATGGCTTTTATCGATTCACACCAGATTCTCTATCTCCTATTTACCCTCTGCTACGCTGTGCAAGCTTTTTAGGTAGCAGCTGAACTGCAGAGATGGACATTGTTAAATTGTATTTTATTGTTTTACCCGTGCACAAGAACTTTTTTTTTATTCCTTTGTGGTTGATCTATGTTGTGGTGCTTCTGCATCTCATATTTACAAAGCCTGATCCAAGAATAAAACAAAACAGAAAATTACTTTTTTTTTTTGTTTGAATTCCTTATTTGGCCTTTTAACAAAATATGTAAAAAGAAAAAACGAAAATAAATTTTTGATATTAATAATTTATTACTATGCGATAAGTCAAGATTATTTTTTGTGTAGTCTTCTGCCCCCTATCATCAGGTGTATATGATTGTGTACAATAGGATTTTGAGCAAAGTTTTTACCATTAAATTATGCAAAAGGAGTCAGACGCAAAACATTTCAGAAACCTTATGTATCAAATATGATACGTTTGGCATTACAGGGATAATATCAAATAAATAAATAACATTGAATTGTTTTTTCATTCCTTCAGTTACTTTGTATCGATTTAGGAGCCATGTAGAGCAACTCAGACTTCAGAAACTCAAGCAAAGCAAAAAAAATATGGATACAAAACTGTGAGATTAGCAAAACTGTAGCAATGGGCAATTTGCATCAAATACGTAGACATAAAAAAGGAAAATTATTATAATAAGTAACTAAGAGAAATGATTCTGGTGCAGAGAGCTGTTTTTTTCTGTGCCAATAAGCATTTGTTTATTAGTAACCCTTTGACACCAGCATTTGTCGCTTTCCAACGCATGCTGCCTACCCTAGGGGCCATTTTGTTTTCAACTCAATTGGATTACCAAAGGCTAGGAAAAAGAGTGGGTGCCTATCATTATCTCATCTTGCCGTTTCTCTATTCTCCCCCTTCCCAGTCATTCTATTTATGAACGGTCACGCACTCTTAGCAGTATCTCGATCTCTCAATCTTTCTACCTGCATATCAGTTTCGGAAATAATGAGATTAAAAGTGTACTTTTATCAGTCAGTAAGTTGCAAATTTGTGGAGACATAACTTAGCTCTTATTATCAAAGGACATAAATTGGCCTTTTTGTTTTTAGCATGTAATTTCAGGATGCACTATATCTATATATATATATATATATATATATATATATATCACTGGAAATGAGGAAGAGGCAGGGACTAAGAAAAGCCAATCCGGTTGCAGAATGTAATGGTAAAAAAAGAAAACAGAATTTCAGGCTACCTTGTCAAAGTGACTGTTGTGGAACAATGTTTTTTATCATAATTTAAAATCTGCAGACATTCCTCTTATGTATATTGTCTGAAAACTAAATTCTGTAAGCATGTTGGCAATATAAGGTGATATACAACACATAAATGTTCTCCTTTAAAGCATGAGAAAGCTGAACTTACAGTAACTGTACATATCCTTAGCAAAACAGGAGGAACAGGGTAAGCAGGTTAGGGTCTAAGCACAGTCCCAGAGGGAGAATTTGAAATTCAAATAGTAGTTGGCTACGATTACACGCAAATAAGCTTTGAGAGTACACCAAGGTACAGTATGTTTTCAGCTTTGGCCACCCAGTCTGTTAACTTAAAAGCCAATAAAAATAACGTCCAGTGCATCACAGATCCTTCAGCTTCACTCGTGTAGT